TTCCAATATATTTTAGTGTTTTTGTTAATTTTATCCACTTCAACCTTTACTAATTCCAGGTTTTGAATCCAAATTTCCATTTCTTCAAAGTTTGTAGGAAACCTGAGTAAAAAATTATTAATATTATTCTACAGTATAGGTGTATCGTCCAAGTTTTTTATTTACTTACCCTTTGAAACGACATGGAACTTCTCCAAATGTATATTTTAGGGCTAACAAACATTGAGTAGTAATTTTAAGTCTTACAACTAACAAAATTCGATAATAAAACATTCTAAAAACTATAAAACCTTCAAAAATATGCTCTGGAAATATAAAATCATACAAAATGTACAAACAAACAAATAAACAGTTGCCTAGTGATTGTTGACAGTTGTAAAAAATGTTGACGCTGCTTTTTTAAATAGACGAATCACATCAAAGACCAAGGGGAAAGAGAAAGTAATAGAAAAAACGGTTCATACTGGCTTCAAACAGAACGAGGCGAAGTATTGTCATCACTACTTTTATTATGAAATGGTTTTTAAGTAGCTTCATTCATATCCATTTAATCCTTGCTTTTATTTTGATGTCTTTCAATTTTCGATAAAATAAAATAAATTAAACATTTCAATAATTGCTAAATAATAGTGTCCATTAATTTGCACTGAATATATTCTGTCTGTATTTTGTCAAGACAAGAGATTTATGAGCTAATGTTAATCATCAAGTATAGAAATAGTAGAAAAAAATGCAATATTTGGAGAGCTGTTCTAAAAACGATTAAAATTCTATTGCCAATTGTATTTATGTAAATTCCGTTTGAATTAATATGTACGATGTTGGCAGCAATTTGAAGATTTTTGCCAGCATAGATAATACGTTTTTTTACAACAGGGGTTTTATGAAAATAATAGCTCCTTAAAAGGAAATAAAGTATATCTTTTCCTTAGAATAAATAATGTTTATAAAACATTTTTGTATAAAAATTAGGTTTTGAATGTGAAATTCTGCAACTCCCTCCCCATTCCAGGATTCCATATATCAGGTGAGTTTGCACCAGTGTTGCCACATGGTTTTTTATTTATTCAATATTTATCAGTTGAAAAAATTAATAGAAATCAGTATAAAACATTCCTTTTAAATTAGTTCAAACGTACACAAAATAGAAAAATTCAACTCTAATATTTTTCTAAAGCATAAAATATAATGCAGTTTAAAATAAATATTATAAATAAATAAATAAATTACTCTTAAAAAATAAATAAAAATTAAACAACACAAGCTTACGTCAAATACTATCTATATCAAATATACAACAAACCAAAAGGCATTATTTGTTGTTTTTTTTTAATCTGTCGAAAAAAAAAACAATTGTAAAGATAGTATTATGTGTGTATGTTTATATAATGAAGTTTGTTTTGAGTATGTGACTTGTTTATACTTTGTTATAAAATGTACTGAAACTTACCTGTGTGTAGAATCGACTTTTGCAAAATGAATTATAGCAATTGTAAAAAAAATATTATTGAATAGAAATAATAATAATAATAATCTTTATTAACCAACAAACGGAAAAGATTACAATAGTTGTTAAAAAAAAAAGAATTCAATTTAATAAATAGGTTGGTTAAAAGGCGCCTATTCAGCAAAGCTGTTCTTCCATAAGGACCTATCGCAAAGTAAAACCTACATTTGTAATTATATATTATAATACCCTAAATAAATAAAAAAAAATACTTATAAAATAACATCTTATCTTACGACAACATAACCTTTTCTCCTAGATTGTTTTTATAATAATATTTGTTAATAATAACAATATTAATAATAATAATAATGATAAAAAAAAGATGTAACAATAATATTATAAAACGGTCATAAAAAAGCTTTCAAAGAATTTTTTTTAGGCTAATACCTGCATCTACATCTGCTTATGGCAACATAACCTCTTTTCGTAGATTGATTTTATTATAATATTAATAATATTAATAATAATAATAACAAAATCGTATTTATAAAACAAGATATAGGAAAGCTTTCAGAGAAGAAGTTTTAACGGATCTGAAGATAATATCTACATTGCTCTTGAAAAATAGTTTTTTTTAAGTAATATTTAAATGAATTTAGAGATTTTCTTCTTATATCAAGTGAAAGTTCATTATACAAAGCGGCAATAGTGTATGAAAAAGATCTTGTAAATAAGGCTGTTTTGTGTTTCGGTATTGTTATTGTATGTTTGTTACGTATGTTAATGTTGTGAACGTCTTCTCTATAAGTAATTTTTCTTGTCAAGTAAGGTGGTTTTTTATCAGATATAATTTTGTGAAAAAACGTAAGAGAATGCAATCTACGTCTATTGGCCATATTTAACCAGTTTGCTGTTATAAGCTTATGACTAATTCGATCGTACTTCCTAATACCGTAGACTAATCTAAGGCAGGAGTTTTGTAATTTTTGGAGTTTGTTCTGATCAACGACTCGTAAACATGGTCCATAGACATAATCGCAATAGTCGGCATGCGAAAGTACCAATGACTCTGTCAGTAATAACTTAATTTCTTGTGACATATATATCCGATTGGCATACAAAAGCTTTAGATTGGAATATCCATTCTTTAAAATATTATTGACGTGATAAGAAAACCTAAGATTTTGATCAATAATAACACCCAAATTTTTCGATTTCTCAATAGGTTTTAGAATATTATTTTTTAGTTTAATTGTAATATTATCTTTTGTTAAACCAAATAATATAATATATGACTTGTTTGAATTTAAATGAAAATCGTGTTTACTAGACTGGTCAACAAGATTTTCCAAATCACTGTTAATTTCATTTTGCAACATTAACAAATTTGTTTTACTACCGAAACGGTACAATTGTGTATCATCTGCATACATGTGCATTTTTGAAAAATTTAAACAAGTAGGAAAATTGCTAGTGTAAATGGTAAATAAAATGGGCCCAAGAATTGAACCTTGAGCTACCCCTCTTTTAATTTCACCTTCGTTTGAGGTCTGTCCTTTATATGTAATTACTTGACGTCTGCGATTGAAGTAATTTTTAAACAGATCTATGGCTGACTCATGTACACCTATAAATTTTAATTGTGAAAAAAGCACAGTGTGACTAATTGTGTCAAAGGCCTTGCTGTAGTCCAACAAGATCAGTGCTCCGACATTTCCTTTATCTAGTTCCCTAAAAATGTTATCAGTGGTATTTAGCAATGCACTGCCACAACTATATCCCGGCCTAAATCCAGATTGCACCTCAGGGAGGATATTATAAGTATCTAAGTGGGTACGAAGTTGAGTTTCCATGACCCTTTCAATTATTTTAGAAAATGTTGGAAGAATGGTGATTGGTCGTATATATTTTAAATTAGTGGGGTTTTGTATTTTTGGGATTGGAATTACCTTACCTACTTTCCACTGATCTGGGAACACAGAAAGGGTTAAGCAGTAGTTTATGATATTGCTTATATATGGCAGTATAAATGGACACGTGAATCTTATAAGTGTTATATCTATATCATCTGTTCCTCTAGCTTTAGTTTTTATGTTAATAATTATTTTGCTAATTTCATTTTCAGTAACAGGAGTAAATCTAAAAGTATTAGGGAAGTTTTGTTGACGATTGTTTTCATAATAACGAACAAGATCTTGAGAAATAGTACTATCTTTTCCAAAATTATCAAGAAAGTAATTATTAATATTGTCTGCATTGCAGTCAAAATCAAACTCAGAATTATATTTTTTATTTCTTATTAAGTGAAGGTGTTTTAAAGTGCTTCATTTTTCTTTTGTAGTTTTTGATTTTTTTAAGCAGTGATTAATAAAAGCTTTTTTTTCTGATTTTATTGCGATATTAGTATAATTTTTTATATCTTTGTAATAGTTCCAATGAACTAATAGTTTTGTTTTCTTAAATTTCCGAAACGCCTTTTCTTTTAAAGAGATCATAAATCTAATATTATTTGTTAGCCACGGAGACGGTTTTTTTGGGAATAGTTTTGTTTTGTATGGGGCATGACAATCAAATGTACAGTTTATATAGTTATTAAGTAGATTTACCTTCTCATTAATATCACTGGAATTAATAATATTTTGCCAGTTATGTTTTTTAAGATCATTTTCAAAATTTTGAAGAATAAATTTAGAAAAATCTCGATAAGTTATAGGTAAATTATTATTAACGGTACCATCAAGTTTAAATAAGGCATATACAAGGGAGTGATTTGAAATAAATGACTCGTCTAAAGTGCCACATTCAATTACACTTAGTGATTTGCTAACAATTATGTAGTCCAGTAAAGTTTGAGAGGTCAGGGAGATATGAGTTGGTTCCGAAATAATTTGTTCCAAATCAAACGCTTCTAATAACATTGTGAGCCCTTTTACAGTTGGATGGTCATGATCTAGGTAATCTAAATTGAAATCACCCGTACATATGACATGGTCATGTTCCAGGTACATGGCAGAAATAGTATCCTCAAGTAAGTCTAAAAATGCGTCCATTTGAATTCTAGGGGGTGGACGATAAACACATCCTACAGCAATTTTTTTCTTATCTATTGTAATTCTTATCCATTCTTGTTCAAATCTGTCATTTGTAAAGTTGTAAGATTCTATTCTATTTACTGTGTATTTACTTTTAATAAAAAATGCCAAACCTCCGCCCCTAGTGTGTCTATCTTTTCGAATAATTTTATATCCAGGAACATATATCATGTCATCAGTCAATTGTATGTTCAACCAAGTCTCTGATAAACATATAATGTCAAAATTTTTGTTTTGTAACATATCCCTAAAGTAATCAATTTTTGGTAATAGCGACCTAGTATTGAGATGAGCAATGTAGATTTCACCCATGATAAAATATAAAAAATTATAAAAAAAAGAACTATTAATATTAATAATAAGTGATGTACCTATATACAGAAAACACATTTAATAAAGCAAAAGAAGTGACAATGTAAGCTAAACTAACGCTTTTGATCAAATCTTCTTCTAAGTACTCTGTGGTTTTCTTCTGGTGGGCTGTAGATAATGCTTTTTCTTTTCTCTTGTCCTTTGGATTTGGGTTTTTCTTCTACCAACTCCTCTGCGTCACTTTCTCGGTTGGAATCGGAATCAGATCTGATGCCATCATTAGTTTCACACTGTCCTTCTATTTTACGAAGATCGTTGGGTGTGTAAATATTTCCATTTATCTCAATAGTTCTACCCTTTATCTTAGCAGGTAGATTTTGATCTTTGGCAATATTTAGATGTCTTTTAAGAACTTTATAGTCGATTCTATCTTGATAGCACATATCATTGGCAATAGATATTTTAGAGTTTTTTAGCTTTTGAACGTTTTGGAAGATTGTTTGTTTTTTATACAAGGAAATAAATTCGATGATAATTGGTAGCTTCTCATGTTCTTCTTTTGGAACCCTTATAAAGTTGATATCATTTTTATTTAAATTTATTCCCAGTAGGTTATTCAAAGTTTGCAAAATGTTTTCGAGGATAGGATTTTTTATTACAAGGCCAAAAATTGCGATATTATTTCTTCGAAGTTTTCTTTCCAGATTGACACAGCTATTTTCTAGTATTTCAATTTTTTATGTGCTGCTTCTAACTTATTTGTCAGTTGTTCAATGCTATGATCTATTTTTCCCGTAATATCTGCAGTTTGTTTAGTATTGTTTTCAACTAGGCGATTATATAATTCATTTATTGTCATATTATCGGAAACATTTTTGCAGGATTGTTTTTCTGTTAGACTCATAATATTTATTTAATATTAATTTAATTAATTTAATATTCCTTTAATTTCCAAGATTATTTTTGACTTGGCAACAAGGTACAAACTTTGTATATTAAAATATTCCAATAATTGAGATAAGAAATATTGTATTAATAAAAAAAAAATCAAAACATAGGCTTATTTCTTCTATAATACACTTAAAAAGTTGGTGCAAACACTTACTGTGATGATAGATGCACTGGTGAAATTGGAAAAATCACTTAAAATATTTTTCTAGGAGTATTAACTGCAATTTTTTAATTTATTTCTCAGAACAATTTTCATACGAACTACATTTCGAGATGCGACGTTGCCAAATTCCAAGTAAGTTAAACAACGTTAAACCTTTAAAACCATAGTGCCTTGGGATGGTGCTAAACTCAAAGTCATAGACTCTGGGGAAGTAATGAAACCCAAGTTTACCATGACATGGATACCGGAACCAGCAGTGGAACCAGAAAGAATAATGAAAAGGCTAATAATCCAAAATTCGTGGCTCCAAAGCTCCAAACGGGGAACTGAAGGATTACTAGAAGGAAGTTGGACCCTAGGGGACAGCACCTTTCCATAACCACGGATTTCGTCTTTTGGAAGAGGAAAAAGGAGAAGCAAGGTATACTGTTCCTGAATTTCTCCTATATCTTGATAAAAAAGATTGGAGGAAAGACTGCTGCTCCTGAAACGACTACTAAGGGAGAAGAACACATACCAGAAGGAGAATCAGTCCTTGGTCGTAGAATCACAAGAAAGTGGGGTTACAAAACAAGAGGCTGAGGCTCCAATGGAAATAGGGGACTCGGAATCCACAGCACATGAGCTAGGTGAAGACGAGGAGAGGACTCTTTTAGGGGACTCACCGCTGTCTGACCCGGCTGACGTGCCGGAGAAGGAACAAGACCCTACATCAAGGACTAGGAAAAGCAAAGAAAAAAAAATGAAGGTAATCCAAGCAAATATCCATCACTGTTGGGCGGCAACAGTTGTTCTACAATGATGTATAATACAACAAGACTGATGTAATCCAAGAACCTCTTATAAACAAGGGGCGAATTAGAGGGTGGCATATATCAGGGGACTATGACATGATTCATTCAGCGTCCGGACTTCCAAGAACCTGCATTATTGCAAATAAAAGCTTGAAGGTATTTCCACTATGGGAATTTTGTACAAATGACCTAGTGACAATATCCCTAAAGCTAGACGGAGGATCTAATCTGATTGTTGGATCCGTATATCTGCTATATGACCAACCTGGGCTCTCCTACACCAAGGAGGTGAGAGAACTGATTAGTCACTGTGAAAAAAAAAACAAAATCCAATTTCTTCTAGAGTGTGATGTCAATGCTCACCATATATTATGGAAGGGGGCACTGACATAAATAACAGAGGAGAAGCTCTTCTGGAATTTATTGCTTTCAATAAACTAGAAGTTGCAACCTTCGAATTATTTGTGCGAAGGGAGGTAATTAATATAATCCTAGGTAAACAACGGACATGTTCATTGGTGGCGAAGTAGCACGTCTCAAAAGAAGTGTCAATTTCCGATTATAGGCATATCCTGTTTAATCTGGTTACAAAAATCTCGGGTGAGAAGACAAATCGTAATCCATCCAACTTTAACTGGGGGGGCTTTCAATAAAGAACTCAAACAGGGACTGGAGGACTGTCCTCCGACACCGAAGAATTCAGTGGAAGTTGAGTTTATGTTAGAGTTTCTGACACGAACCCTAACCAACACATTTGAAAAACTGCCTGATAAAAATATAAAAAGAAGATCGAGACTCTGTATGGTGGAATGGAGACTTTTCAAAAAAAGAGCAGGAGTTCGTAAACCTGTCCAAAAGGTCGGGCAACTGGGAAGTCTATAAGGCGCACTGGAGAGCCAAAGAAAGCCAAAGAAAATTCTTTAAAGAAATTTTGTGACGGCATTGAAAGCCTTCCAGAATGTTCCAGACTCAGGAAAACTCTACAGAGAGATAAGCAAGGATGCATGGGATGTTTGAATAATCATCTAAGAAAACTCACAAAATCAGGGGAGAATACTTTAGATTTACTACTAAAGTCACACTTTCCTGGATTTGATATTATTCTTGACCAAGAGAACATGAGTATCGAGGCACTAATTTCTAGGGCCTCAAAAACAAACTGGTATTTTGCAAACTCAATAGTAAACAGAACAAAACTTGTGTGGGCGATAAATTCCTTTCAACCATACAAAACAGCTGGACCTGATGGTATAATCCCGGCACTTCTACAAAAGGGCCTGAAAGTACTAAAAGGACCACTATGTAAACTATTCCGAGCTAACAAAGCCCTCGGATATGTTCCACAAAGCTGGAGGTGTGCAAGAGTTGTCTTCATTCCCAAACCCGGGAAAACATCTTACGGGGAGACCAAATCTTTCAGACTAATCAGCCTAACATCATTTCTCCTAAAATCCTAAAAAAATTGGAGAAATTGATCGATAGATATATACGGGACGATGTTCTACGGGATAAACTGATACAGCAATACCAGTTTGTCTACCAATCTGGAAAGTCTTGCGATGCAACCATACATAGGCTAGCTTAACAAGCTAAACAAGCATTGGAAAGCAAAGAAATAGCACTAGGAGTCTTCCTAGATATAAAAGGAGCCTTTGATTTGGCTTCATACAATTCAATACTGCATTAGGAATAGGGTTGAGTTGATGGTTAATTATATAACCATTACCAGTAATCTCCTTAACACAACAAGAGAGGTCTCAGTTAACAAGGGATACCCGCAGGAAGGAGTGTTATCTTCTCTTCTGTGGATCTTGGTGGTTGATGACCTCTTATGGGAGTTAGAGATAGAAAAGTTATACACGCAAGCATTTGCAGACGACATAAGTATCGTAGTAAACGGTAAATTTGGGTCTGTTGTATCCGAAAAGATGCAGCGGGCACTATCGTGGCAAGATAGTGCCTAAAAGAGGAATTGTCCACAAGCCCGAAAAAAACCTCTGTTATTGCATTCACAAGAAAAAGGAACCTTCAAGGAATGAAGAAGCTTTATATGTGGGGACAACATCTAAAAATGGCAAGAGGTTAAATATAATAATAATAATAATATTTATTCAAGAAATAACACAAGTTACAAGGTAACAGAACAACAATTTCAAATAAATAAATATTGATACTCAATAAGTGCCAATAAGGCACTTGTTTTGAGAACAAATATAAATATAAAAAATAAACAAATTTATACATATAAAATAAAATTAATGCATTACAGGAAAATATATATATATATATATATATATATATATATATATATATATATATATATATATATATATATATATATATATATATATATATATATATATATATATATACATTTTAGATAATAATATTTTATATAGGAGACAAACACAATCAAAATACCTACACTTAATTAAAAAGATATCGAAACTTTGACCATACAAAATGCAAATAAATATCAGTTAATTAAAAGAATATTATTTATTACCTCCATTTTCTCGTTTTTGATAAATTTTTTTAAATTATTTTTAAATATGGACAAGGTATTACATTTTATGTCGACTGGAAGAGTATTATATAATTTTGGACCTAGATACAAATACGATCGTTGTCCTACTGATTTTTGAGTACGAGGCACATTATGGAGATGTTTTTTTCTTGTGCTATATGGATGATCTGGTAAGTTGAATAGTTGTTTATTTGTATGAAATTTAATATTAATATTATAATAAAAAAATTGTTTTAGATTCATAACATTTGCCTTTCTACTAAGCTATGGTACAATATTTTAAGTTGATGTGGTTGTAGATAATCTCTTATATTTTTAAATTTATATATTATCATTCTTAATTTTTGGCATGTAAAAGTTATGTTTTCTTTCCATTTGAGATATGAATCCATGTAAACCCCTAGATATTTTATCTTGTTTTCAGGGAGAATGGTAAGTGTTTGCCCAGAAGCAGTAAAAGTTACTTTGTCAAATGGAGGTCTTGTTATAATATTATTACTGAATGTAAGTAGTGGGTTTTATCTACATTTAATGTCAGTAACTTACTGTCAAACCAGTTTTTCAGATTTGGAAGGTCCTGTTCAACTTTTTGCTTTAGTTCTAGCCATGAATTAGCTTTATAAAATATTGAGGTGTCGTCTGCGAATCCCAAAACTTCCCCTGAACTCTCGATAGAAAATAATCCGTTGATGTAAAGATTAAATAGAATAGGACCGAGTACCGTACCTTGTGGGATACCGTAAGATATGGATTCTAGATCACTGTAGACACCATTTACTCTTGTAACTTGTTGTCGGTTTGTGAGGTAACTTTCAAATAATTTTAGTGATGTGTCCCTTATACCTGCTTCTTCTAAAGTATCCAAAAGTAAACGGTGGCTGACAGTATCAAATGCTTTCGAGAGATCTAGATATACACAGAGACATGGACTGCTTTCATCTAGAGCAGTTAGTATTTTGGTAGATAGTGCGATAATAGCATCTTCCGTAGAGACATGTTTTTTAAAACCATATTGTTTATCAGATATTATATCATATTTAGATGTGAAATTTACTAATCTATTTTTAAGAGCTTTTTCAAAAATCTTTGATAAATGTGTTATTAATGAAATTGGTCTATAATTTGTTGCCACTGTGTCATCTCCTTTTTTATATATGGGGACAACTATTGTCTGTTTAAATATATTAGGCCATACACCAGTATCAAAAGTCAGGTTTATCAAATGATTGAGTGGTGTTACAATAAATTTAGATATATCTTTTAATATTTCGGCCTTAATATTGTCGATACCAGGACTTTTATTAGATTTTAACTCGTTAATAATAGTTTCAATTTCTCGTTCGGAAGTTGGAAATAGAACGAAAGAATTGCAGAGAATATTACGAGGTGCTCGATAGGTTGGATTTGGCTTAATATTTTTAGCCAGTTCTTTTCCAACATTTATATAGGTTTTATTAAAAATATTTGCAATTTCTTTGAATGTATTTATTGTTTCCCCTTCCGAGTTTTTTATTGAATTTATATATTTTTTTGTTTCTCTATTGGAGTTAATTTCATTTATTACTTTCCAAAGTTGTTGGGGGTTACAGGAGTTGTTTTCAATATTTTTGTTAATAAGGCTTTTATAATAGGTATTCTTCGCAGTTTTTATAGAATTAGTTACTTTGTTTTTAAATGTTTTATATTGTTGTTTAATTTCTAGGTTATTTGGGTTTTTTAATGTTTGTTGAAAAAGTGCATTCTTCTTATTTATCTTTTTTAGCAGCTGGTTTGTAATCCAGGGACAGATTTTATGTGTTTT